CTTTACAGCTACATGATGTATTATTCTTACCTTTATGAGCAAAAATGACGGCGTATCCACTGAAAAAAAACACAAGTGATCGCGCTGGCACCTCCATGTCCTGCAAAACGCGCTTTATAGCTTCCACTCTCCGCACAAACTATTGGATACAGCGCACATTTATCTAGGTTTAACGTTTAAACATTGTTATATGCTTGAGCTGTTTTATATCTATAGATTTTATTTTAGGCAAGTCGTGATGATTTGAGAAGGCTAAATTGATCAAACATAGGCTATGATCAGCTCACTGTCTGCAGCTGGCCGCTTGGTCGTTACTAAAAAACAAAAACTTATATTTAACAAACAAAAAATTCTCCAAACGTTTTTTCTAAATTAACTTAATAAAAAAACGAAATGAAATATAATCACTTTGCCATTACATACAAAACTGAACTATTTTAATAGCTGGAACAGTAGTATAAGCTGGTTTGGGGAAAGGGGGAAAAAAAAGACGGGCTCGGGCCGGTAATTCTGATAAGCTGTCGGACATGGCCCGGGCTAGGATCTGAGCATCTCGGGCCAGGGCAGGGCTAGGGCCTAAATCTGAGGCCCGTGCAGGGCTCTAGGATGGAGAGATGTCGCTGCGTGTTATAGCTATTAATATTAACATTCCTGTTGGTTTAAATGGTCGGCCATCGGGGGCCCCCTTAAAATGCGGGGCCCCAGGCATTTGCCTGCCTTGCCTGCCCCATTGCTACACCTCTGCTTATATGTACATATCCATACATATATGAATGGAGGTTTTGGGAAAATCTCACCTGTAGTAAGTTAGTTTGGCCACTAGGAATATACTACAACCTTTGGAACAAGAAAAACCTTATTTTGGTGAATTACTCTAATGTTTTTTCTAAAAATATTTGTGCACTGTACATACTTAGGGGAAGTATTGTCTAAGGTGAGATATTGGCAAAATATCTGCCCACTAGGTATTTACTAGGTATTTCTCTGTAAACAATAATTGAATGAATTATTGGATTTAGTTTTGTACTGTGAGGTAAATCTGCAGACGGTCCCTAAAGCAGCAGCGAATATCAAGCCTAAAACTAGGGTGACCATACGTCCTCTTTTCCCTGGACATGTCCTCTTTTTGGACCTAAAAAATGCGTCCGGCCAGGATTTCTTAATCGTCCAAAATGTGTGCGGGTGCGGACCAAACAACCGTACCGAGACCCAGCTGAAGAGGTGGTCTCGGTCCGCGCTTCCAAACGAACTCTGGTACGGTTCGTTTTAGGTGTGAATATCACCCGACCTCGATCCGACCCAATTGCAGAAATCACGCTCAGAAACAGACAGCTCGTGCATATAGTGCTGTTGTTTGCGTTTGGAAATGGCTTAAATCACTTGTTTTTGAACCACAATGCTTAAAAATGCATGCAAATGATGAGTTATCGTGACCATGGCGCACAGCAAGGTGACGTGAGTGCGCTAAATAGGCTAAAGCTTGCGCAAAGCCCCAGCAAAAGTTACAATGAATATGTTGGAGAGAAATAGTAAGGAGATGTTTAAATTATTTACTAATAAACTAGTGTTTTCTGAGTCAGTGTCGCAAAGATGAAGTTGAGATCCTGACTCGCCATCTTCTCATTGGACGCACCTTTAGAAAGAAATGCATCTTTACGGATTACATAATGAAAGAGTTTTTGTTTTGGATTTGAATTATTTCATTTTGTAGTCATTTAAAGCTTTCTATAGATATATTCATCATGTCTGTAAGGAAAATATTTGCTGAGTTTTGGTTAATTTTTGTGAATCGCTCCTGTTCAAGACCAAGACGGCAGAAAGTGCATCCTATTTGTTTTCTTTATTTCACAAAAGCACAGTGTTTTCTTGATATTGTGAGTGCACACAAATAAAAGTAGATCCTTTACAGTTCCGAACAATGTATTATTCTTACCTTTATGAGAAAAAATGACGGCGTATTTTAATTTGTTTCCACTGATGTCCTGAAACGGCTTCAGCTTCCACTCTCCGCTCAAACGATTGGATATGTGCTTAATAGCGCACATTTATCTAGGTTAATGTTTAAACTAATATTGTGATATGCTTTAAGTATTTTATATCTATAGATTTTATTTTCTGCAAGTCGTGATTACAGCATCGTATGACATTGTCTCATATGATGCTCATACGTTCATATTGCGTTAGCTGATAACACCAAATCAGTAGCTAAAAGAATAAAAATTGCACTATGAATGATCTCCATGATTAGCCTGTTTTTGCACTTCATGTTTTTGTCTACTTGAGAATTTCTGTCCAATGAATGGATGACCTTGGCACACGTGTGGTTTTGTTTACAATTTCTGGTTCACTTGCAAAAAGGGCAGTGTGAAAGTGAACCGCACCAAACAAAAAAATCATTGTATTTGGTCCGGACCAAAGCAAGTGAACTAGCGGACTTTCCTGGTGTGAATACACCCTAAAACAAAACAGTTGACCTGCACATTATCTCATCAGGTGAGACAGACTTTGTGCCCTTTATGAGACGGACCTTCAGCTGGATTGTCAATTAAAGCAATTAAAGAACTGAGAAGATGGTTTGTGTTGATCAGGTCTTTCTTATAGCAGCACGACTGAATAAAGACTCATCTGCTCCCAGTGTGCTTTTACTGAACTTTAAGCCACTCCCGTATGTTGATGGAATGTACTGTATGTTAATCACTGCATTCACAGCTGATCAGTCCAGTATATCAGGCGTTTGCTCTCCATTTGTTCTGATTAATTAAGCTGTTCTTCAGGAAAATCCTGCAGCTCCTGCATTTCTTTGCTTTTCCAGCATCTTATGCACATGTAAGCTCTTCCCAGCAGCATGATGCTGAGATCAATCTTTACACGGTGGACGAATGAGGGATTCATGCACAACAATTACAAAAGCTGCAACCATTCACTGATTCTCAGGAAAAATATACAATATAAAATACAAAATACAAAATAGTGTTCCCTTTATAATCACAAAAAAGCTGTCACTCACTTCAGTTCATCACAATATCACAAAGTGCCCTTAAAATAAATTAAGCTCTCTACACTGCACAACGAATCTTGTGTCTACACTTTGGAAGAGAACGGAACTGAACTGAACTGAACTGAACTGGACTGCACTGGACTGAGCTGGGGCCTGTACCATGATGGTAGTTGAACCAATTCAGAGTTACAGGATTAGTTTCGAGTTGACAAAACCAAACCACTCCAATCCAGCTTTGTTGGTTCCATGATACTGATCATCAGCTTTCTTTGTCAACTCTGGCTTTGATCCTGAGTTTGTGGAGCCTGTTCACATGAATGTGTGACATCAGCGGTGAACAGCCAATCACAGGCCTTGCAGCAACACAGCGCAAGTGTGATTCACCCAGCGAGATTCAAAACTCTTTCGCTAAGGTTAAGAGATTGAAGGATATGAGGAATTGAAATGCATTTACACTGAAGAAAGAACTTGTCCATGAAAGAGGACAAATAAAAGAAATGATCTTGCTCTATCAGTGCAAGTGAAAATTGTGAAGTTAGTTTAAATGGTTGATAACAGCGATAGAGACGCGAATATGTAAGATCACATGTAGTTATTTTTAAAGCCTTATCTATTGATTTTACAGCTTATTTATGTTACATATGACCAAGTCAAGTCCCCTTTATTTATATAGCGCTTTTAACAATACAGATTGTGTCAAAAGAAACTGTACAGCATTAATTAGGAAAATAGTATGTCAATAATGCAGAAGGACAATAGTAAACACTAATTTTTCAGTTAAAGGCAGTTCATCATTGAATTCAGTGATGTCATCATCCAGCTCAGTTCAGTTTAAATAGTCTCTGTGCAATCAAGTCCACGATATCGCTGGAAATGAAGTGTCCCCAACTAAGCAAGCCAGAGGCGACAGCGGCAAGGAACCAAAACGCCGTTGCAAGTTCCGTCGTTACCTACCATGGTTAGCTAATGATGCTTTTGGGAAACGCACCCCTGGACTGAATTGAGCTGGACTGGACCGAACTGAACGCTGCAAAAACACGTTGTAAACACAAATACGCACTGGAGCGTTTCTGTTTCGCCAATATCCTGTTTTCACAGCCTCACCTGAACGGCTCTTGCTTTCATTTAAATGCGTGAGAAAATCTGAAAGCGTGAGAGTGCAGCCCTGCTTTTAGTAAATCACTCCAGACATTTGCATATAAATATTCGTTGCCCGTGTTTTCTTCACTGACACAGACAAAAGTGAATGAAAATGAAAAAGCACTGGCCCTTGAACACATAGCAAGCTCAGTTTTCTGGCCTTGGTATTTCTATAACCCTGCGTACAGTAACATCAGCACAGATTTCTGAGATTCTTGAGAATACTAAAGTCTGCTGCCAAATCTCTATAAAAAAGTTGATCTGGTGTCTGAAAAAGAGGTTTAGGTTGTGTAATCAGGATTGAGACGATATGCAGTATCTTGAGAAATTACTCCATGTTTAGTAATTCTCATTTTCATTTAAAATCGCAATGATGTGTATGAACCGGGAACTTCAACGGGATTGTTTTTTCACTCCTGATGGAGAAATGCAACACTAACTGTGCGATCACAGGATCCAACCCTTTGATTCCAAACCCAGAGATCTACCAGATGCTCCTGAAATCCGCTGATGATCTGCATCACGCTCATTAGACAGACACAAACACGCCTTCATTAGAAACCACAAGCTTTTATTGGAATGTTTCACCATTACACTTACAAATCCCACTGGATTCCCACTGGTGTGTCTGCCTTTATCAAAACGAGCTTCTGCTAATACTGATTCTGCTCAAGCACATGTTCATATGACCGTCTGCGATTATGAATAAATGACATCTGAAGGTAAAAGCAATTGAGTATCTAAAATGCCATGAAGAAAAAGACAGACAGAAAATGCAGTATATGGGATTTTTTTTTAAGAGTTTTTGTCTGTGTGTGTGAGTGTGTGTGTGAGTGAGTGTGTGTGTGTTGTTTCCTAAGGCAAAGTCTGTGTGTGTGAGTGAGTGAGCGAGCGTGAGTGAGTGTGTGTGTGCGTGTGTGTGTGTGCGTGTGTGACTCACGGTTGACGCCAGCATGGATCCTCCGAACCACACGGCGTAGCGCTGCATGTGATGGGTGACGACCTGAACGTCGATGGGTTTAGGCTGTGAGAGAAGAAGAGATGCAGATATTGAGTAGTTATTTCTCACACAGACGCTGCTGTAGATCTGCTGTGAATGTGACCTTGAGTTTCCCTCCGCTGAGCTCCTCGCTGAGCTTCAGACGTGCGTCCACCGTTCTCTTCAGGTCTCTCTGCATACGCCGGCCGAAGTCACGGAACATGGTGGAGCCGCCCGACAGCACGATGTTCTGTGAAAGAGCACACGAGTTCACACCACTGAACCATCAGCCGCATCTGACCGTGACCGACGCTACTGACCTTATAGAGCGGACGGCGCACATCGATCGGGCAGTTCTGAATGACCTCGTCCACAACCTCAGAGATGGGCTGAGTGAAGTCCGGGTTAGCAAACTGAGAGGAAACAGAGTGTGAGACGCTGCTGTGTGTGTGTGTGTGTGTGTGTGTGTCTGTCTGTCTGTCTGTGAGTGAGTGAGTGTGTGTGTGAGTTTGTGTGAATGAGTGAGTGAGTGTGTGTGTGTGAGTGTGAGCGTGCGTGTGTCTGTGAGTGTGTGTGTGTACGTGTGTGTGTGCGAGTGCGTGCGTGCGTGTGTATGAGAGTGTGTGTGTGTGTGCGTGTGTGAGTGCGTGTGTGAGTA